AATATAAGTATCAAACCTGGATGTTTCTATATATATCGAAAACTGGAATTGGTTCAAGAGATATATATATGGGCAGACAAGAAAGAAAGTATAGAGAGAAGTATACAGTGATGACATGTTTCTGCATGAAAGAAACAAAACCAGTGGGCTAGGAAGGAAGCTAAGCGTAGGGCGCGAGATTAAGGGCATGTATGGTTAATAATGGAGAAGTTTTCAGAGGGAAAAGTGGAAGATGTGGGGTTGTCATTGCACCCTGAATCCAAGCTCTCTAACCATCCCGCTAAATAGAGAGAGAGACTATAATATTAACCACGTAATTTCCTAAATGACGTCTCTCCATCTGAGTCGTAAAGCTGAGACTGCTTTTTAATTCTTTGAACATCTGTTTGTCTTGGAGCCCTTGGAACACATGGATTCCTCGTCACTCTCCAACTTTCTCTCAATAACATATGAAGCTAAAGGAACATATATAAAGCTAAAAATTTACCATAATGTCTTCCTCTTTTTCTCTTTCCCCCATCACCTTCTCTTTATTTACGCTTTTCTTTCTTCTCCTTTTTGTTCAATTAATGCCTGTTTATCGTCATATTTTATTGTTAATTGATAAATATTTAACCGCTTTGTCCCATGGGCAGCTTCGCACTAACCTTTTCTTTTTTCTATTATTTTAGAATAGTCATCACCTAATTCACCCACTTTAATTTTGTTTCTGTCCATTCAGATAGCAACCCTACCCTACCGCTTCTTATGTCATTTGGTCATTTTTCTTTTTAGCTCTAGCATGCTAAAATTGTGTGTGTTTAATTTATAAGAAAATGATGAGCTCCCAAAGACCCATATAAGGCATTAACTACTTTACAAAACGATGTCTTTTTTGATAAATGAAAGAAAATCGAAGTTATCAGTTGTGCTTTGATAGATACTTGTGGCACAAGACTGCTTTCTTTCTTTCTTTTCCCAAACAATACTCAAGCTTTATAAAACTATGAATCTTTAAACATTCTCATATCAATTGAAAGCCTTTCTTAAAAACTTACTAGTATACTACCCAAAAAATAGCTCATTACCTACAAAATTAGCGACGAATAATTATTCTATTGCTAATTTCTGACAAATTACTGACAAAATTTCATCGCTAAATTTAGCGAAGGATTAGCGATGAAATAGCAATGGAATTTCTGTCTGTTGCTAAATTCTAAACCTAATCCGTTGAAAAATCTATCAGTAAATATTTAGCGACAAAAATTTTTTCATCAAAAATTTCTATCACTAATTTTAATTATAAATTTTTAGCGATGGAAATTTTCCATCCTAAATTGTTTGTCACAAAATTTTTTGTTATTAATTCTGTAACTAATTATATTCCGGTCACAATTCTGTTACTTATCCGTCACTAATTTTAAATTTTATTATTTTAGATTATAATCTTACAACAACTTATATAATAACATAATTAAGAATACAATGATTTAAATATATTTTAAATTGTAAAATAAATTGATATATTTGTGGAGTTAGTGTTAATGAAAGTATTGTAATCATTCATGTCATCATTGGGTACATACTGAGAATAGGAAGATAATTTCATAAAAAAACTTGTTTATATTTCATTAAAATCAATTCCTCTTGATTATTAATAATAATTAAAAAAATATGATAAGAATATTAATAATTTTCTTATACAAACTAATATAAGAAAAAAAATGATTTTATCATATGTACAATATATTGAAAGATTTAATATATGATAAAAATTCAAAACTGAAAAATGAATTTATATGAACATCTCAATTTATGATTATAAATCAAACTAATGTTGAGGTGAATTTTGAATTTCAATTATTAAACAATAAAATTTAATCATGATATAATTAATACCTATGACATAGATTGATTTTGGCCTTTAATATAAAAACAAATGGTATATACAAATAATTTTAAGAAAATAGATTATATAGAATACATATACAAGTAGAAGAATATTGTTTATCATAATCTATTCAAATCATTTAATTTTTTATATAGAATAATTTATTATATTTTATTATAGTAGCTATTTTTTAATAACAAGATTTTTTTTACTAATTATAAATGGTTTTCACCAAATATATAAAACACATATATATAATATAACATAATGTAATATAACACATATATAATGAAATTATATATCTTATCAATGTTAATTAAAAAATAAATTTAAAAAACATATTTACGAAAAAATTATTTATGATTTACAATTCAAGTGTCATTGGAAATTAAAATTATATTTAAAATATTTTCTAAAAAATAAAAAATTATATAATAAATAGTAAAACAGATATTTAAAAATTATTTTATCATTAAAATAGTTATGATTAAAATTATCATATAGTTTTTAATAATATAAATGTATATATAATTGTTTGTGTCAAAAAATATTATATATACTTAATTTTGCATAATAAGTCAGCAGGTTTATTGCAGCTCAACTGGTAAAATCGCACACGCTTACAAACGAGATTCTGGGTCTTACCCATGGAGAAGTTACTTTGAAGAGGAATTTTATGATGGTGACACATGGCAGTCATCGCTGAGGTGGCAGTGACACATGAAAAGGTCCATGGTCGTCGCCAATGATGACGTGGCGATTGGTAAAAGAGCCATGTGACATTTTAATTATTCTTTCAAAATTTGAGTTGGCGATGGAAAATTCCGTCGCTAATCCATGACTAATTAGCGATGGAATTTCAATTCCAATTAACAACAGAGAAATTAGTGACAAAACAAATTTTATCACTCATTCCGTTACTAATTCCTTTCCGTGGCTAAATTCCGTCACTAATCGTATGTTTTTTTGTAGCAGTATTTTTAACAGGTTTCAAGTGATACCCACTAGGTCTTTTACGGATTTTTTTTTTAATTTTTAAAGGATTTAAACGTTTTGACCCCAAAAAAAAAAGTATTTGAACGTAATTTATTTATGTTACAAATCATTTTTTCCCTCCTTAGAAAATTGTTTAAGCAGGATATTGTTTCAAGTATTAACACTCTTGAGACTTGATTAAGCAAGGATCTTTGAAGTGTTAATACCGTTGAAATTTGATTAAGTTGGTATGCTACCTCCAATATTTATTATAAGAGCTAAGTTAGTCCTAAATACAAGACTCAAATCTATTCTCTCTTCTAAATTTATAATTTTCTCAAAATGTCTCTATTATTATAAGAGTTTTCGATCAAGAATTACGTCTAATACACATGATTAAATAGAGTAATTTTAAAAAGTTAACACATTTGTTACAAATAAGTAATTTAACTAATTTTTTTAATATCATCAAATTAATTATCTAACTCTTAAAAAAAAAAAAAAAGGACCACTTATGTATGGAAAAATAAAGAGGGAATATAAAACTAGAGAAGTAAAAGTGATTTGCTTCTATTTATTTATTTATTTATTTTATTAGTCACAGGTATCCTTCTATTGGAAATAATCTCATTTGAGACACTATTAGACACTAAATGTAAGTATCTCTTCTAATGAGAATTCAAATCTTGATCTGTCACATTATAAGGAATTAACCCCTTTTTGTTGACCCAACTCCCGTTGATAATTTGCTTCTGTTTAGTTCAAAATACAATGTCACTTCTCCAAAGTTGTGCTCCTAAACCCAAAGCAAATATTTTTGGAAGAATTCCGTTTAATCCCCTCATAGGAACTTTATTTCAAAATGCCCCCTTATAATTATTAGACTTCACTACATCCTTTTGGGGTTAAAGAAAAGAAACCATAAAAAGAGCTACAGAACTGGCAGCAACTAATAGTCTAATCAATTAAGCCAGTATTATATATTTATACTCCTCTGGTCCTTAATATAAGACATAATTGTTGAGTTTATTTTGATTATAAATATAAGACCTATTTTTCATATTTGTCAATTTTTCTTAAATTACTCCTATAAATCTCTCTCAACCATAACCAAGTAGAAAAAGAAGAGAAGATATTAAGAAAAATGATTATGGTACTTTAAGAAAAATGTCATATTTTTTATAATTAACTAACTTACCTAATTTTTTTAATCTAATCAAATTAGTTAAATAAATCTTATATTAAGGACCGAAAGAGTATGCGTGTGTGTATCAATTTGATTTTACTCCGTTATTTGTATTTTAATCAGTTTTTGTTGTCATGAATTCAAACTCAACCCGATCAGCTCAACAGAAAAGTTGTTTAATTGATAGCTCAATAAATTTGGGATTTTCACATAATTATTTGATAATTGATTACAAATTGATAAAATCATTAATAAATATAGTTATACATCAACGCAAATTAACGTTAGCGATAAAAGATCCCATTCCTTTAACAAATAATTAGCAATCTGATTTCCAACTCTTTTCTATAATTTTTGGAATGGGTTTGCTTTCTATGTTATGTATTCTAAGAGAGATTGGTCTCTTCTCAATGAAGAATCTTTACATACTTGAACACACTTAACACGGCATCCATTTCTATGTTTAATTTTAGATTAGAGTTTTGAATTTATTTCAAGTCCTCAATTCCATATTGAATATTGGAGATGTCTTAGGGGAGTCTGAGAACCTCTAAAATCACTTAAAAATAGTACTTTCATGTAATTTAAAACAAAACCCATCTCACATACTTATTTCACCGTAAAATTACTTCTAAAAAGCTAATCCTAACACTTCTTTAATCAGCGCATGACCTGCGTTTTCATATGATTTAGGTTACCGGGGGGTGAAAGAAGGGTCATATTCCCCTGTGGTATTCTTTTAAGGGTTAAGGTATAATTTTAACTCCAATCTTATTTCTCAAGTACAATTTTATCCCTGATCTTTTTAGTGACACAATTTTGACCCTAATCTCTTTTTTTTTCCTTTTGGGTGCAATTTTGCCCCTCAGTCAAAATTACACCCAAAAATTAAGAGTAAAACTGCACCTGAGAAAAAAAAAAAAAGATCAGGGACAAAATTATACCAGAAAAATAAAATTAGGGGCAAAATTGCACATTAACCCTTCTTTTAATCCTTCGAGTTTATCAGGTTGGAAGGCAATGCTTGGTTCTTTTTGGTCACGGAGTCCATCCCATATGCTCATGTGTAAGCATCGTCATATGATTTAGGTTACACTATCCATCCACAAGTTATGAACATTTACCACAATCCGCATGTTGCAGCAAGCCCACCATTCGATTCCCGTAAATGCTTAAAAACCTGTCCAATAGAACTCTATTTGGTTGATCCACTGGCTTTTCCTGCGTCTGGACTCGAGGAGACTATCATCAAATTAAAACATCCTTTCAGATGGTTGACTCTAGATTATGTCAAGACCAATTAGCATGACCTGCAGTTGATGAAAAATTTCAAGCACTATCACGCCAATTAGCATGACCTGCAGTTGATGAAAAATTTTAAGCACTATCACGTGACGTAGGGAAGCTAATTCCATCCTTCAGATGGTTCAGTGCAGTCGGACACAGCCATTTCAGCATGTTTGGACCCAAAATCTGGTAAAAAGATTTATGAACATATTAAAAGATAACGAGCAGAAAAGAATTGTTATGATAGTTTCTGTTAAACTTGTGATAGGTCAAGATCACAAGTGGTAGGGTTATACCAAAGTAATGTTTTTGTATGCACCAATGTTGAATGGATGTCGATAGCTTTGTCCCGATTTTCTAGCCAACCACTGTGCACGCTTACCCTCATAATACTGGTTACAAGCACAGCATGAGATAGTCAGTGACAGAAACAAAACAACTCCATTGTGTATAGCCCACTAGCTACCCACCTCTATGGTAGTCATGTTGTGAAGAACGAGATATATATGCCATCCCAGAAGAGTTAAAAGGGTCACGGTCAAGGTGATCAATATCAACCCACATGGGACCTAAACAAGTGTCACATGTCTCAACATTAATGTATAGTATTAGAAAAGCAAGAGTAAAAGAAGCAAAAGATGCTCTAAAAAACCCTCAGAATATTTTTTGGGTCCAGCAAAGAGCAATTTTCTTGCAATAAAAATCCTTTGCCTTTAACAAGCAGGATAAACATTAAAGGAAAACATTCAAACTTAAGAGATGTACAGAAAATTACATTGCACAACGTAAAATGAGGCAGCTTTTTCACATTACAGAATTAACTTTAGATGTCCTTTAAGAAAAGATGCCTGTGGAATGGAGACGAAGTACAGGCAAGAATTTTTTTTTTTTTTTTTTTAAAAAGGGACTAAGAAGTTACTCATACCAAGATAGCTCAGTGTAAGAAACAATTCAAACTCTAGCAAAGAATATGGAATAAACTATTTGATGGCTATATCTACATGTTGTGTCTTAGATTATGCACGTACAATATGTCGATCTACAGAAGAGATGCCAAATCTAGTATATAAGCCTCTAAGGACCCACGTTCACATACATGTACGATCAAAAGATACTGAAACAATTTTCAAGTCAAATAAGAAAAATGTGATGAGTTATGATTAAGCTTTGGTTTAATTCAGAGACAAACTCCAATTGCATGATAAGGAAAATGCATGGTCGACAAGGTTAAAGGTAAAATATTAGGTATATTATTATCTGCAATGTAATAAGAAATTCGTAGGGTAATTTTAATTTTCAAAAGAATATGATAAGGTAATATTATTTGTTAGAGAAGCCAAGAAAAAATAGAGTTCTTTAATAAGAAGAGAGACAAAAGAAAAAGAAATGATCAAAAATAAAAGAGGCTCAATTTTAAAATAAATAAATAAAGGAAAGGAAAAAGCAAAAGGAAAAAAGGTAGAGAATCCTCCTCTATTTTGACAGTTCAGTAAATAGATTCTTAACTTCTAGGTCTGACAATTAACGACTCTCATATCTTAGAAAATTAAAAGTCTCTTAAAAAGCTACTTTATGTTGAAGAAGAATGGCTGACTTTGGAGAATTTGGTCTCTAAGAACAAATTCTTCTGAGGAATCAATGAGAAGATTAATTGTTGGAAATCTCAAGTGTGCAGTGGTGAGAAAGATTAATCAGCCAAAGTTGATAAAAGGGTTGTTGAATTTTACGAAAAGGAAATTGAGAACATCAAGAAAATCCTTATAGTTCCTTGCTGTATGGATGATGCATGAAGAATATTATCCCATGGTTCATGTAATATATAATGTTTTCTTAAATTACTGTATCAGGGTTTAGTTAATAACTTCAACAGAAGAAAGTTAATAACTATAACAGAAGAAACCATGGTTATGTTCTCCAAGGCCAAAGTCTGTTCAAGAATGACAAAGATGAAAAATGCAAAATCGAACTTCAAGGAAACCATTATCCAATGTAGGTGCTTCCTATTCTTATATGTCATGAGATATGACATCAATTCATAAAATTTAACCATTAGCGTCTATGAAGCTCATTGTGTTCTACTCTGGACTTTACTCTTTGAATTAGAGCATAAATGCAATGCAAATATTGAGTTTAGTGGAATTAAAAATGGGAAAACGAAATAGCATCAAAATTAGCTTATCAATCTCAACATAAACAACTGCGTTGGATATGGTTCAGAAGAAAAGCGAAAATCAGGTTGTCTTGCTCTGTGCAACTACGAAGACATATTAAGCAGAACAGAGGATATGAACCAATTGTTGAGGTGTATTTCAGTCATCTTAACTACTAATATATGCAGTATTGCAGTTGGCCATAGGCGATACATGGCAGCCAACATTGAACTAGAGAGGAGGTTCGCTTTTTAAACAAAACCCCCTCCCCCAAAAAAAAAGAAAGAAAAGAAAAGAAAAGAAAAGGGGAGGTTCAGTCAACATTCCAAAACCGCACAAAAACAAGTTTTTGAAAAGAACTACAGTTTAAATCACCTGGTATGGCAACAACCAAGTAGGAGAAAAAGTTAGAGAACTAATGTGCTCAAAGAAACAGGAGCATGAGATTCCTTTTCTAGTGGGGAAGAGTTAGTAGAATTTAGCATGAGAAGACTGACAAGAAATGAGACGATTTCATTTGAGACAGCCACAAAATGAAATTGGGATAAAAATAAAATTGATTGAGATCGATATAAAGCAAGGGACTCAATCAACGGGATCTTATGCCTCAAACATTGACACACCCCAAGGCAAGGCTGTCTGTCTTGTCAACCCATATAGATCAACCAATTTTGCCAGCGTCAAGTTAAATTTTGAAGGGTGAAACTTTTGCCATCACTAACTCCTTCATAAACTAATATCTATTACCCCGCCCCGGGGGAAGAGCCAACAACATCAAAGGCCTTCGAATCTAAGAATTATATTCTGGAAACCATATGCTTTAGTGTCTCAGCATTTTAAAATTCAAAGAAAAAATTTCTGCAACTATAGAACCGATGTAGATAGCCTAGTGGTATACAAATAAGCTCTCCTACAGAGACTAAAGTCCAAATGAATAGCTGCTGAAGAAAAATTGAATGGCTTGTATTTTTGTGTAGAATATATACGAGAACCCACAACCTTTATTTTTTCATCAACAGTAAGAACCTGCACCGTCCCACTAATAGTACTAATAAACTTGTCAGATATCAGAGATTAGTGTGGAATAAATTTTTAATTTCTTTAAAAATAATGATCGTTTAGTTAGAGTCCCAATACTAAGTTAGTGGCCTAACAAATGAGTCAAGGAGATGTTAATAAGCAAACCTTGGTTATATAAAAAGAAGTCAAATGCCAGTCACAACCCATTTACTCAATCACTAAAGTGTCCAGTCTATACTAGAACCTAAGATAGCCTTTATGCAATGAACAGACCTCTTTGTACTTTTCATGATGGTTGTGAAGTAATTAACCGGCATTTCCTCACTGCCAAAAGGTGCTTTTCTATTCATACCAGGAACAGATTTTTCAACCATCAAAGGCTTAATATTCTGTCCTGGTACGTTCTTGAAATTAGAGATGTCGGAAGAAGGAGAAAGAAGGAAAGGAGTGATAGAGAAAGTAGGAGAGGAACAAAAACAAAGAGAGAGTTGCTGGATAATCCTTCAATTCATTCGATAATCAGTAGTACATCTCGGTTTGATCTAGGAGTATCCTTTTATAGAAGGAAAACAACTAACTAACAGAAATAAATGTAATTAACAAGTAACTAACAAGTTATTGTCTAACGGGTACTACTAGCCTATGTCAGTTGACCTATCTACCCTTACTTATATAATATGGATTACAATTACGTAACATGTCCATTGTCCAAGAAGGTGGAGTCCTCCCATATTAACCCACAAGCTCATCATTTTACTCTGCTCAATTGAGCTTAACTTAATGAATCTAAATATAAAGGGATTAAGAACTTTCCAAGAGTTGGAGATAAACTTAAGAAATTTATAATAACTGTTTGACGCCAGTTTTAACACACTTAAACTTTGTTTTCAAATAATGTACTAGGTTTATTAGCTTCATACAATGGTAACACAAATCTAGAGAAGTTTAGAACTGACATAAATTACCAATAAACAGAGAATTCAAAGGTCTAGCATCCAACAAATTAAAAGATAAAGCCACAGACACATTAGAACACTCATAGTTTACTCAATAACTTACGTAATATATCTTAAGAGATCTTCCTTTCAATGAATCCCAGTCTTTTTGAAGCACAAAGCTTATATAGATTGCCTACAAATTGGAACGATCATTAGTAATACAGGAAAGGTGATCAGAAAAAGAAAAATAGATACCACATAGAACACATACCGTTGAATGAATACTTGCTATGGTGGCATATAATGCCAGAACAAAGAAAGCCTTATAATTCCAGTAACCGACACAATTATTTATCCACATGCAGTGATGATCCTGCATCAATAAGGCAATAAAAGATAAGAAAAATAGTCTTAAATCCTCAACTCAAATACAATCCTGGGGCTCAAATTATTTATTGCCATCAGTCAAAAAAATGTAACTACCGTACCATTTTCAGAATACATCTTCTGCAGACTCGACAATGATGAGTCCTTGGAGGCTTGTATGCAAAGCATTTGTCACATCTCTTCTGTTCTAAACTCTGAGGCTCATTATCAAGTAATTCATTTGTTAAGCTTATCAGATGAACAAATATGTAGCAATATTAACAGCTTCTCCATGATAAATAAATCAGAAAAGAAACTTTGTGACGATAGTTAAAAGAGATAGCTAAGCCATTATTTGAAAAAAGTCGAGAGAGAGCAGATTACAAAACGTCAGCACATCTAATAATAGAAGAATATACGGTAGTACGCAACAACAAGCATTGACAATAGAAGTATAGCTTCCAACTTACTATCTTATATGCGAAATATAACTGATCTTTCCATTTATATAAACAATTGAAATCCATTTCCACGGCAAACAGCCCAGAATCTAGGATTACACTTTATGCAGGACAATGATTCCCACTTCCAATCAACAAAGAAAAAAACAACACAACATAACGCGGAATCGTAGCATTCAAGCTTCACTCTTCTGTCAGATTCAACATAAATTAAACTGAAAGAATGCAGAATAAACCCAATCTGTCGTTTACCCAGGGCAAGACTTACATCTTTGCCATTTGCATGATCCGTGATTTCTCTGCCTTCAACATCGGGGAGATACGAAGAAGGGACATGGCCAGGGTCTGCAAGAACGCAAACAAGAAAAGAGAACAGACAAAAAGCAGCCAATATAGTAAAGAAGGAGGCATTCAAAATGCCTGGAGAGCTCTGCAAGCCCACCCAATCCTCGATCAAGACGAAGACTGTAATGTAATAAACAAAAGCCATAAGTGAAATCACCGCCATCACAGGGAGTGACAGAAACCGTTTGACCGGCATCGCGGGATTGAACTAGAATAGAAGGGAGAATCTTGCTCTCTTTCGCCTAGAGAACTTTGGGGCATGTGGTCATTCATTTCATTTGGCGGGGGCGATAATGAGATGCGACTCCGCATTTATTTATAAATTGTTACAGTACGATTGAAGTTTTCATTTTTGGAAAAAATTATACAATTACAGATCTACAGTTCGCGGAATAAAAATATTCCTCCTATCCTTAATATAATACCCATTTAACTAATTTAATCAAATTAAGAAAGTTAAGTAAGTTAGTTAATTATAAAAAATGTGACACGTATTTTTTAAAATACCATAGTCATCTTTCTTAATACCTCTCTTTCTTTTCTACTCGATTATGGTTAAAGGAGTATCCATAGGGTAATTTACAGAAAATTGATAAATATGAGAAATAGATCTTATATTTAAAATTAAAACCAACTCAATAATTAGGTACTATATTAAGGACTAAAAGAGTATAAAATATGGACATGCGGGTTCATTGATATTATACCAATAAAAGCAGTCAAAATATTAAATTTGTTACAAAGTTTAAGTAATTTTCAACATTACCTTATTAATTATATTACCAAGCCCTAGCACCATATTAATTTCTACTACTTTTCATTACCATTATTAAATATAGAGATATATGAAAAAAAATATTTATTGATTATTGAAATTATAAAAAAAAAATTTTTAAAAACTAAAAATACATTTTACAAAGTGTCTTGCAATACAAACTAGAAGAAGTATATGTGGGGGGCATACAGTATACATAGATACAAGCCAATACTCATTAGTGCATACCATTAGTGCTTATCTAGGACAAAAACTTATCATTAGTAAATATCATTAGTACTTATTGAGTTTTGATTGTAAGATTTTAATATATTTTGTTTTTTATATTTATCAGTTTTTTTCAAATTATTCCTATTTATACTTTCTTAATAGTAATTAAATTTTATATAGAGGTATTTGTTAAAACATCACATTATATTTATTACAATTAACTATTATATCTATCTTTTAATATTTTTAAATTAATTAAGCAACTCTTGTATTGAGACTAACAATTTTTAAAATGTTAATACCTCAATATGCAAGATCTACATTTATCTATAATTATTTAAACGTATAAATAATAAATTAATCTATTAAAATAAAGTACATCTGTGCATAATAAAATAATAATTACAACTTATAATTTTTTTCTCTCTGGCAAAAAAAAAATTTTTGCCTTTTCTGTTAAGATAACCATATTGGTTCGGACGTGTATTTGCGTAGCTTTTCGTCGGATTTGGAGAGCAGCATGGACTATGGAGATCCAGTAAGGCATGAATTGAGAAAGTACCTGAGGGTTGTCACGCTTCAACAGGTCTGGAGCTATTTAGGCCAAGGCACCTTGCTTTAAATTTCTATTTTCCGTTTGCGTTCATAATTTTTAAGTATATACTCTTTCGGAGCTCAACTCTATGCAGCAAGGATCCCTTAATTTTGCAAATTTTGAAAGAACACTTAAAGACAAATGCAAGTTACAAGATAGAAAATGTGATATTTGCCCAACATCATATTTAAAATTACTTGGGAAAATTACTCTAACATTTAGGAATAAGAAAATGCAATAAATAAGATAGAACAACGGATGAAAACAGATATATTATCCTTTCAACAAAAGGACATTATCCCACTTTTGAGGTGTGATTCTTTTCTTCATCCTCGCCTTCTGGCTTCTGCGCCATTCGCACCCTTCTAATTCTTCTCTCCATCCACTTTGTTTAAATTCACTGTACCCTGTCTTGACGGCGGCGAACTCTTTCTGGTAAACTTCTCAGCCCTTTCTTGTTGTTACTCGACAACTATGGAGGATGCCCTTCACATAAGGAATTCATGAACAATCTTTCTGAGCCTACGTCTGTTTATGCATGAATGCCTAAAGTGTTTTTAATTTAATTTATTAACTGCTTGGACTCAAACTATTATAGTGCGTGCTCGTTTGTAAAGGGAGGGGTTTAAGTGTATGTGAAGATCAAGAACGGTGGAGTAGGCGGGGTTAGTTGGGGATGAAAATGGTGAGAAAGAGAAGGGAAAGGGGGTAATTATTGAGAGACTTGATGGGCTTGAGTTTAGATGTGGTTGGCTGGAGTCCTTTCGGCTCTCGGAGAAGGAAGCTTCGATGTGAAGAAAAATAAGTAGTTTGAATATTCTGGGTTACATGAACGGCTTAGCCGAAGTTGCAGTTTGAACAGTCTGACAAATTTAATTCATATGCCTGGAATTTTGGATTTTTACATATGGGATAATCAACTTGAGGGTGGTTTGAAAAAATGTGGCAAAAATGGTGATCTGATGAATAATTAAGAGTTATCATGAACTTTCTTAGTGTCCATGGAAGAGTATATATGTATGAGAGTATAAAACCAATACATGATCCCGGATGTATTTCTCGGCTCCAAGCTAGTAGACATTACCAGGGATATTTGACTTGTATTGCTGTTTGTAATGCAAACTTAAGCTCTGATCTTGCCTTTTTTTATTCCCAAAAAAAAGAAAAGACTAATAAAGAACTGCGACAATAGAGTAGTGAGCTTAATGATAATCCCTTCATTTTGTGATCCAAAAAAAGGTGATAATCCTTTCATAGACCAGTAATAAAAGACTTCCGAATTGACATTTTGGCACATCCAGAATCGCGCCCCCTCTCTCCTTCCCAGTCTCTATATATTGCTACGGACCAGAAAAATTGGTTCAGGGAAAATCATGCGTAAGAAAAAATTAGGAGTTTACCAAGGAGCTAGAAATATGCGTGGGGACATGCACAGCTTCCAAGGAAGACATTTAGGCTTCGTTTGGGACTACGATGAAAAAATTTATAAACACGTTTCACGTATATTAACGTAAAACTCATCTAACATATTTATTTCATATTTTATAAATTACAGTTGAAAAGTTACTTATAAGTCATTCCAAACCAATCATAATTCATTGAATACGAACACTTGAGAAGAAGTTGCCAGAGTTTGAGCCATTATCTATATGTGTCAAATTACCTTATTTTAATCAAATCGAATCAAACGAAACCAAAACACATCCTTGCTTTAAGAAAATCTTAATTTTTTTTTCAATAAAAAATCTTAATTCTATCAAAAAATCTTAGGCCGCTGAGAGCACTTTATTTTCATAAGCGTGATCAAATATCCAATTATTAACACCGTCAAACCTCTTCCTTTAATTATGATAATGATCTTAATTGCTACATAATGTCATAATGATCTTAATTGTGATAACGACCTGATGAGTTTGGGTGAGCAGCCAAATTTGTTCCAATTTGGAAAAGCTACGAGGTCCTTAAGAGTACGCGTGCTTTTTCCATATAAAAACATTTAATGTCCGAGACCATTTGAGAATTAATTCTCCGAACAGATATTAATAAGTAATTTTCTCTTGAAAAATCCACAATTAGATTTTTCTTCTAATCTTTGGGAGCGGTGCCAGTTGAAACCTTCGGAATGACATGGGTTACTAAAATGGGAGATGGAAAGACTTGTTTGGAGCTATCTGCCGGTTTCTTTGGAGCAGACGAAATGAATGAGAAAGTCTACGCAAACACTCAAATAGAAGCGTCTATACTAGCATCTTGCCCAAAGCTAAGGCTGTCCTCGCTGGCTATTATTCAGCATATGAGAAGCTAAAGGGAGTTAACATGAGGGGCAGCAAGGTATATCTGAGCGTGAAGTGTTGAACCTACCTGTAGACAGCGCTTTACGTCGACGGTGATCATGCTTACAATAGTAGTAGGTCTGGCTGCGGAGGCAGACTGAAGGATCATACAGGTGTTCCCACTGGGCATGCATAATGGGAATATGTAGAGCGTGGAACTGTGGTTTTAGAAGGGTGAGCCTTTGTAGTGATTCCCTAGAAGCTTTGCAGGTGCTCAAGGATGGGAAAAATGATCTCCACGAGTATTGGGATCTGATTCTAGAAGGTAGAAACTTCCTCCAACGAGAATGGGTGATCGGGCTGAAGTACGTGAGCAGAGAAAGTAACCATGAAGCCGACATTCTAGAAGGTAGAAACTTCCTGCATCTGACTTGCACAGATGTTGCAGACTTACTTTCTTCTCTTCAGAGTAGCGTAGTTGTTTCTCCTTTCCCTTGTATCAAAAAATAAATAAATAAATTTTTCACTTCAATTAAAATTAACATTCTTGTTTATTATAATTTGTGTTCACCGGAAAAAAACTGAATAGTACTAAAAATAATGCATGAAGCTTTGGTCAAGTTTATTAGGTCCATTATGTCCATTATTTCAGTATAAGTATGCCATCTGTATTATTTTTTCCATGTCAGCTGGTAGCGCCAAACAATAATTAAACCGCCGTTAACCCTCTGCTTAAAAAAATATTTTTTTAATAAAATAAATAAAAAATAGAATGTCATCGGCGAAGGCAATCAGCAGTGTCAACAGCATCTAGTGATTTAACCATCAGCCTCTGAAACCTCCAATGGAGCCCATCTAGATCAAACAAACGAAAAGACCAAACAAAATCGATGCTAAGTATCAATTAGAAACATAGTCAGAGGTTTAGAAGTTTAAATAATTTGAAATAAATTAAAGATAATTAATTAATTTTACCTTTTGGATAAAGAAACGAAGCATCAAAAAATACCTATACCGAATTGCAAGGTTCCGGTCCTAAGAAGAATGTTGAGATTGACGATGAGCTTGATTTCATTCTCTCTCTTTCAGCTTTCATGCGACGCCGGCGAGAAACTATGAGGTTGTCGTGGGAGACAAGCTTCTAGCTAGGGTGCCAGAGAGGATGGTGAGCTTCTTGTGGACGCCGCTAAAAAGGATTTTTCGGGTTAACGGAAAGAATGGGGAGGCCTGCTTGCCGGTTCTCTTCGCCAACCGCGCTGCTCAGGCTTCGCGACTCAATGGACGCAAGTTCTGCCTTTTATTTTTACGCAAAAAAAGAACTTTTTTGGAAAAAAGAAAGAAAAATACCACTTAAACTTCATAATCTCCAAATGATCTGCTGAATTTAAGAAATCTCTAATTTGGTCTCAAGAGACCAA